TTTTTTGTTAGGCATCACCTTTCCTTTTTCCTTAGCAATAACTTTCTCTACATGGCAGAAAACTAGTCTCTTAACAGCTTCTACATTTTGCATTTTAAAATTCCACCCTCAGGAGACGAACTGGTATACTTAGATCCACAGCTAATATTTTCTAGGCAAAACTCTACTGGTCTGTTCTAGGTCATGTATTCATTCTTGGACAAATGAATACGGTTAAAGAGAGATGTCATGTAAGAACATGAAGACATTGGCAGAAACCAATCTAATAAAATGAATTAGGGGAGGAGCAGTGTCCAAAAGAAGAATAGGATGCCAAGCCGACAATGCCATAAATGTGCATCTCGTGTTCTAAGTGAGGGGGGTGTCTTGACCAGAAAATATCTTAAATATATAAGAAAATATATCTTAAAGTACGTAAAACCTGAAAGTTATCTTTAGCCAAAGATCAGAAATGGCAAAATGGAGGCTGAATTAAGATAGAGGTTAGGGACAGGGAAGAGATGGAAGTGATGTTAAGGAGTAATAATCAGTGGGTCATGTAACCCATATTAGTTTCACATGGTGCCCCTATACTCTCCAGTAACAGGAGCTTACTACCTTGCCAGATGCCAAGTCCTCTGAGAGGTGCTACAGTGGTGCAGAAGATACAGTCCCTCCCCTCAAAGGGCAGTCACGTGGCTTAGCAACAGCAATACCTCATTTCTATAGGAAGCCTTTCATCCATACCTTGGGATCCCTGGCTCCATGACGTAGAACTTAGTTAATGAAACAGATCTGTATAAGCACTCTTCTTTACTGAAGGTCAAGGCCTGAACTTTTGGGAGCTCTTCATTTGGACTTATTGCTTCATGTCCTATTGATCAATATACCAGGATCAATGATATAGGATTGTTTTGTCTGAGCGCATCACTAGGGAGAAAGCATCGAAACTTGATAGCAATTCTCAACACTTGATTTTTATGTCCTTGGATGTTGTCTATGTGGTCCCAACTAATAGTGGCCAATCTAGCTATTTCAACCATATTTGTGATGCATGATGATTAACCTATGCCTGTTCTATACAGCAAAATGCTATCGACTAAGACTCCATTTGTCTTTCTCTTATTGAATAATTTTTAAGAAGTTACTTCAAATATAAGCATTAATGTTCATGTTTATGTTTGTCTTCTGAAAGTCAAATTAATTTCACCCTCTGGGTTCCCGCATCATCTTCTAACATGTTGGACTGTAATTATTTGTTCATGTGTTTGTCTTACACCCCCTGTACTCTGAGTTCCTTAAGGGCAAGGACTTCATCTTACTTATTCATTCCAGGACTCAGCACAGTGCCTGGCGCATGGAAGGTTCTCCGTCTTGGGGGAGGAGTGGGTAATAAATTCAGGAAGTTTGTCCTCTGACAGATCAATAGTGCAGAAACATCTGGAATGAGTTGTTAGTTTTCACTAACTTTATTTTCTCTAAATAAGCAAAAGATCCTTGAGATGTTTTCAGTGCAGCTGGCCACCTAACCAGAATGTCATTGTCATTTCAGACACACTGTACAATGAAAAGCACTTCTGTTTTTGTTTGTCAACTTTGCCAGCTCCTGTGAGAAATTCTACAAAGGATCATGGCATCTGCACAAGACAAGGTAAGAGAAATCCAATATAACTCATGTCATAGTCTTACCATTATCTTTATTATCATTTTTTTTTTTAGCATTTTTTAGGAATAGAAGTCTGCGACCCTAGAAAAAATTGTGGTCTGCTTAAAGGAGGCCACCCAGAAAATAATTCACAGTAAAAACAAAACATAAAACATAAAAAACCTTCCACAGAGGTGAGAGGTGATTTTTTTTTCACACTTTTTTTTTCTCACCTGATAAGTGATAGGGCACACTGTTAAATCTCCTTTGTTCATTTGAAGGGTGTTCACATAATACTGATTTAAACATATTGTTACCCAGATTTCAGCCTTGAAGGCAGAGTAGCTCTGAAGTATTACATCAAAAAACCTCTGAATACAGTGCAATAGTTCAAAAGAACTGAATTCTAAAAATAAAAGATAATCATCACAGCGACAATAGCTAGAATCTAGCAATGGCCTACCGAGTGCTAGAAACCGCTATCACTGTTTGTTACAGGTTTTCTTTAATGCTCAAATAAATTAGGCGGGGATGGTGTGACTGAGGACACTGAGGCTCAGAGGGAGAAACGATTTACCAAATCTAAATTAGAAGTGGGAAAGCAGATATGTAGATACATTCAACCATGTGAATGAGTCTCACAGCTATTGAGTTGAGCAAAAGACACCAGATAATGGTAGGTTACACTACACTGTTACTTTCATATAAGTTCAAAAACAGACAAAACTAATCAATTCTCATAGAAGTCAGGAGATAGTTATTTTTATGCAGGGCTTCACTAGGAGGAGGTATCAAGGAACCTTCTGGATGACTAGAAATGCTCTAGGTCTTGACACAGGTGTGGTACAAAAGTGTATCCATACATGAAAATTTTTTCAGCTGCACAAAGATTTGTTCCCTTTCTGTATATAAATTGTATCTCAGTAAAAAAGTTATGAACTATAGAAACGATCCCTGAAAGTATAACTTTTTTCAATAAAAAAGTTAAAAAGTAAAAGAAGGCAAGAGGAATTAGAATTTAGCTCTGTTTGGTTCCAAAGTCCCTCTCTTTCCACTACACACTCTTTTTTTTTTTTTTAAGTTTATGTATTTATCGAGAGAGAGAGAGAGAGAGAGAGAGAGAGAGAGAGAGAGAACAAGCAGAGGGAGCAGAGAGAGAAAATCCCAAGCAGGCTCTGCACTGGGAGTGCAGAGCCCTATGTGGGGCTCCAATTCACAAACTGTGAGATCATGACTTGAGCTGAAATCAACAGTCAGACGCTTGACCGACTGAACCACCCAGGCACCCCAACTATACATTCTTTCTGAAATCAGTTTTAAGTTTCTACGTTCAATACAGAATCTTACCTCTTTTACTGGGATAGTGCACAGAAAAGTCTCCACAGATACTTTATAAACTATTGCTATAGGTTCATACAGTGGCAGTACAAACAGAAACCTTTTGGTTGTGAAAAGATGATGTATTAGACGGGGGGACTAGTCCGTCAAAGGCTTCATGAATGTTATTAAAGGAAACGGTTTGGATTTTATGTATATGAGGAATCACTGAGGGATTTTACATAAGAAATTTTATGATCATATTTGCTGTTGTGGGTGAAATGAGTTAGAAAGAATGGATAGCAGGAGAATCAGCCTAGGACCAGAGAGAAGTTAGGAGACTGTTGGAAACATCTCTGCAAAAGCGGGTAGATCTTAGACTAAGAGTTACAACAGTACTGTTGGCAGATGAAATAAAGATATGTTACAGAGCCAGGTGGAGTTAGTGGAATGAGCCATAGCAAAGCAGAACCTATTCAGCCACCAGGAAGTCAGGGACAAAGTATATTGATCTGGGGAGAGGCTAAATCTAGGCAAGTTGTCAGGGCTCTAGCCAAGTGATTTGGGATTCCGGGAAATGTTCTGGTCCTTGTAAAGAACTAGACTGTGTCCCCCTAAAATTTATATGCTGAAGTCCTGAGCCAAGTACCTGAGAATGTGACTGTATTTGGAGAGAGAGTCTTTATAAAGGAAATTAATTAAAAATGATGTCATCAAGGTAGGCCCTAATCCAATATGATTGGTCTCCTTATTTTATAAAAAGGAAATTTGGACACAGAAACGCACATCCAGAAGACTATGCGAAGTGACAAAGAGAAAATGGCCACCTGTAAGCCAAGAAAAGTAGCCTCAGAAGAAACCAAACCTACAGATACCTTGATCTTGGACTTCCAGACTCCAATTGTGAGAAAATCAGTGGTTTAAGCCAACCATTTTGTGGTACTTTGTAATGGCGGCCCTAACAAACTAATAGAAGTATCAATCTGGACCTGTGCCTATTCAAAAAGGAGAAGGCACAGGCCCTGGGGGCTGGGAGCTAAATCATGCAGCTCAGTAAGCAGACAAGGCCACCAGGAACCCTCGGATAGTGATCTTCCAGCCAAGAAGTTGGCTAGCCATTTCAAACTTCAGGTACTGGTAGGGATGGGGCTTCTAATATTCCTCCAAATGTAATTCTCATTGGCTCAAAGACAGGGCAGAACAAAGCAATAGGTGAAATCTTTAATTCTGATTTGGGGCAGAGTTGGAAGCAAGCAGGGGTTATCTCAACCTTTATCGTAACTAATAGGTATCCACATAGAGCCAAAAATTATGCTAGATCTAGTTAGAATTGAGGCAATAAACAATTAAGATATTTGTTTGTACCTGCAAATTCCTTAGATGTTAGACTAAGAGATATGTGTGTGTGTGTGTGTGTGTGTGTGTGTGTGTGTGTGTGTGTCTACATACTAAGCCCCTCACTTCTCTGCTTTCACATGCTCTGCCATGGATCAAATATTCCCTCGGGTCATTGAAGTTTCCTCCTAACTGGTCTCTCCGTCTCAGTATTGGCTCCCCAGTAATGAGGATCAAGAGCAGATCATTTGAGGCATGAATGGGTGCATGGCCATGATTTTCTCATTTGTCTGTGTACATTTTCCAAGGAACGGAATCGCTTAGCAGTCCTTCTTGACTCCTTGTTCTATTCTTCCAGGTCGATTATGAAGAATGGATTTTTCCTTCCCAGTTACATTCATTCACATCCATTCTGTCTTTTACATAGCCACATAGACTAGTTCACGCTCTTTTCAGATCCTGCCTGAACTATTACAAAAGCTCCTTACCGTTCTGCTTACCCCCTGCGTCTCTCGTCACCACTTGTATCTATCCTATGCAAAATCGACTTTAGAACACATCACTTTGACAAAAGGCCATTTTTCTACTTCTTAACCTTCAACAGCCCCTGACCGGTTACAGCTTCAAACACGCCTCAGCCTAATGTTTAAGGCTTTGAGCATCTGGCTCTTCTAACATTTTCAGTCGCATTCGTAAGTATCCTAGCTTCCCAAATCCTCAACGAATGGCGTCAGACATTGCCCTCCAACATGACTGTCCACACAGCCCTGGGCTTCCAACCCCTACGCTTTTGCTTTTGCATGTATGTTTTTATTTCTTGCCTTCTGTCTTTTCCATGCTTCACTTGTCCCTCAAGAACACCTCAAATCGCAGACATTTTTGCTTATTTTTCTCCTAGTGTGACATACATTCTTCTCTGCTGACTCATGCTAGTCATCTTTCAAGGCCAACCATAATTTCTACTTCGTCTTTCGAGTCCTTCCTAGCCACTCTGACATTCAGTCCTTTGCGAAAAGCTACTGTGCGGCCATTAGGTACGAGATACTGTCTGAGCCCTAGAGATCATGCTTGGCTGATACAGATTTCCTCATTTCCAGGACAGTGTGCTCTCCTCCCCTTTATGTTCTTATTGCAGCTATTGTTCAAAGAACTATCCATATCTTAGGGGTCCCTGGGTGGCTCAGTTAGTTGAGTGTCCAACTTCAGCTCAGGTCACGATCTGGCAGTTTGTGAGTTTGAGCCCCGCGTCGGGCTCTGTGCTGACAACTCAGAGTCTGGAGCCTGCTTCAGATTCTGTGTCTCCCTCTCTCTCTCTGCTCCTCCCTCACTTCTACTTGGTCTCTCTCTCTCCCTCTCAGAAAGAAAGAAACATTAAAAACAATTTTTTTTAAATAATGTGCTATCTTAGGAAATTTGTTTTGAATTACCAATTGTAGTTCTATGATTTAGTTTTTAATACATGAGTTATCTTTCCCAGGTACTTTATAGAGACTTTGCCCCCCGATGATCTAATTTCATAGATCAAGGAGATCTATGAGACAGGAGAGGGGCATGCTGTTATGTACCAGGCAACGAGATGCTAGTGCTTCTCATAGTGTGAGATGTCTAACAGTCCATTTTATGGGACACACAAAACCCATGATTCTACAGATATTATTGCATAGGATAAAGCTGAAGTAGATAGTGCCCATCTGAGTTTGTTTTTTCAGTGAGTTACTTTAAATAAAAATATTAAATAATAAAGCTTCAAAAAATACTCAGTTATGGCAAAGGCCATCAAGTGGGTTTTCAGCGACTGAAACAGTGTTAAATGATAACACATTTATTCCTCACAACGTCTTTACAAATTAGAAACTAAAGTCCAAAGAAACGCTGGAATTCATTCAAGTCACAGAGCTACTAGGTGGTGATGCAGGATTCCGGTAGAGGTACTTAGGTCTCTGACTAAAGCTCTCCCTGACATCCTTTTGCATATATAGGAAAATTTAGTGTAATTACCCGAGTGTGAATGTCTGGCTTGTGTCTTTATACCCCACCTCATCTCCTTAAAAAGATTTATTTTCTAAACTAAATCTTCCATCTCCAGAAAAAGAAAAGGGGCATCAGAATGAATTTGGTACGTTTCAAAACCCATTTATAAAACACACAAGAAAACAGACCTGCTTTCCTGCCTGGCTGAGTGAAACATTAATTCTTCACCTTGGCACCTCAACCTACAGCTGTAATAAGGGCCGTTATGCCCAAATAGGCCCTTAAACGGAAGACCTGCTGGGCAGAGACCCACTTTCCCAACCCGGCTCGACTGTGGCTGCTTTTTCTGCCAACTGACCAGGCTGAAGCAGCAGCAGGGGAGGAGGGACTGCAGGTAGGTGGGGAGGGGATCATTTTGAAAGCTTTAAATCCCTCCCAGGGAAGAAGCAGCTGCTCCTTGTTTTTCTAACATCTGTCCCATCTGTCCCCGGCCGCACCTCACCCTTTGGAGGCTCGAACTAGCTGACCATGGATGTGACAAGGAAGCATTTCTGAAGGCCGGTTGGTGAGCGGAAATGGGCATAACCGCCACCAGAAATTTTCTTTTATCGAGAAGAGGGCAGTTGGGGCTCTTCTGGAGTATAGCTGTCACCTTCCTTCATTTTTCTGAAAAACATACGGCTTTAACTGGCAGAATCGGGATTTGTAACATCACCCAAATCAGGCTGTACGCCCTAAGGACAATATGTCCTGGCGCCCATTTTTTTTATTTTCCCCTCCAGGGAAGCCACAGGCTGCTGATTTGTGGGACAAATAATGATACTGTACGAACTATACCACCTCTATAGAACAAGCTGTTCATATCTTGCACGTGTGGCGTTTATGACGTTTAACAGCGTGTTGCTTGTATTTGACTCCCCTGCCAACACGATTCTTCTCGAGAATAGGGCGCTTATTTTTATTTAGGTATTTACCCCTCGTATTCAGAACCGTGGCTGGAACCTGGCAGGCATGAAATAGAAATTTATGAATGAACGAACGTTAACGAAGATAAAATAAACAGGGTGATTCATTCCGTCTTCCGAAGACGGGAGCGGAGGGAAGGGTTTGGCCGTGAACTTAGTCGCCACGGGAGGCGCAGTCCCAAAGGCCAGCAGCTTCGGCTCGGGTCTCCGCAGACCCGGGTCTGCAAGCGGGCGCTAGCGCTCCGCCCCAAGCGAGGCCCCGAGCCTCTGAGACAGCCCGCCCCCAAGGCACACAAGGCCACGCCCCCTTCCCAGTCATTCCCTGGGCAAAGTCCGTTCCAGGCTTCGGGGTGGGGCCAGAAAGGCGCAGGCGCAATGCGCAGCGGAAGTAGCGACTCGGGAAATTAGAAGGAAGGAAAGGGGCCTGCCTGCCGGGCTCCGCGAAGGGCACTGCGCTCCTCCTCCGTGGCTTCCTCCACCTCGGGGAAGCTCCGGGCGGCCGCACGTGCCTCCCTGCCCAGGCTCCTCCCCTTCCCTCCCCCTGCCCGGGAGCGGCCGCGGGCTGCTTTCCTCTCCTCCAGCCGAGATGGCGCTCGACCCCGCAGGTACGGGGGCGGGACGCGGGGGTTGCTGAGGAGTCCGGGCCCGGGTCCCTAACTGTGGTCCTGCGGCTGGGGGCCGGTCTGGGAAAGGTGCCGAGCGCTGAGGTTGCACCGCTTCCGCAGACGGCTGCTCACGCCCGCCCGGCTGGCCGCTTTAGGGTTTCTGGCGGCCCCAGCGTCTTCCCTGCAGTCTTGGGTCATCGGCTCGCTCCTTGGGGTTAGGGTTAGGTGAAAGGCATTGGGTTTGTTGTCCAAGCGGTCGTCCATTTGTGTCTTACAAACATTTCCTTCTGAACGCGGCTGGTCTCATCTTTTTCGTCCCTCTGGGGGGTGGGGGGGGGGGTACTGACTCCTTTAAGTATCTGTACGATAACTTAAAAACAACAATCCAAAGGACCCATCATTGTGGCAGGGGTCAGTTTCTTTAGAAAGGATCCCCAGGGTCTCGATCAGTTAGTGCTTCCAGCCCACTTCTATATGAGGCAGTAGTTTCCCTCGAATTCCCGTCCTTAAAGAAGCTCACCTGCACTGCCTTTGCTTTAAGCTGTTTGTGTTACAGAAGCTCACGTACGGTATCTTTGTAGGCTATTCATGTAAGTATAGAGGACTTCGTTTTTGAAGGGGTGGTGATTGGTCTAATCCACGCCCTTCGTTTTATGAATAGGAAAACTATTCATAAGGCGTTGGGAGGAGTAATGGCTTCAAACGTTTGGAGATTCAGAAATGGAAAACTCATTTGGTGGCTCTCAAGAAGAGCGGAAAATATCTGTAGCCAACAAATAATACATTTTTTGAACGCTTTATTATCAAGCTAGGTATTCTCAATTATCCAGCAATAGTATGTGATATTGTAGACCATTTCATGGATTATAAAACTGAGGCGGAGAGAGATTAGGGACTAATCTAATTTAAAGCATAAAAATTTCTGGAACACTTCACAAGCACACCAATTTTGGCCCAGGTGATTGGAACAGACTTATGAGGCCGTTAATAATTGATCTAGCCTTTAAAAGATAATTTGCAGTGGTTGGACTTGGAGAGGAGGCGGCAGAATGAACAAATGTATAGGTGGTAAAATATCACTGTGTGATATTTAGTTGCAGAGTGTAAATGAGGGGTAAGAAAAATTAGGTTGGAAAGTAGATTGACGCCTGTTACAATTCTAGTGCACCTGAGCTGAAAGTGACATTCAAAGTAATCTACAAATGAGGAAATAGAGAGGTCGAAGGCTTTCATATGTCTATATTCTGAGTTTAGATACATGAAATTTAGAAAAAAGTCTCACTTGCTGTTTCCACTTTCTTACTGTCCAGTTACTCTTAACCCACTCAATCTTGTGGTGTGCCCACGTCCACACTGCTAATTGCTGGTAGAGCCCAAGCTGGAATAGAGCCCTGGTAATTTCATTTCCGGGTCCATGCTATAGACCATGCCTCTGATGAAAACAAAAACGGGAGTGCCCATTATATGTCACAAGCATACAATGGTAGAAGAAAGAAGACAGCCCACCCCTGAACCCCCATATATACTTTGCCAGATTATGATCAACATGAAGAAAATAAGCAGTCTCGTGTGGTAGATGGTGAAAAGAGGACTGACCTCAGAGTAGGCAGTGAAGAGCTCTATGAGGAAGTGTCCTTTGAATTGGAATCTGAAGGACAAGAGGAGGCAGTTATGTGGAGAGGTAGGGAAAGAGTATGCTGGGCAGTCAGAAGCAGCAAATGCTTAAAATGTTTGGAATGAGGGCCAGAGCGTGGAGGAGGTTCATAAGGAAGGATGTTGGGAAAGTAGGCAGGAGCTAGATGCTGCAGGACCTAGAAGGCCCTGATAAGAAAGCATTTGGACTTTTCCTGATGTTATGAAAAGTCTTTGGAGGCTTGCATTCATTCATTCATTTAATGTTTGTTTATTTTGAAAGAGAGCGTGCACGTGAGTGGGGGAGGGGCAGAGAGACAGAGGGAGAGAAAGAATCCCAAGCAGGCTCTACTCTGGGAACATGGAGCCCATCGTGGGGCTCAACTGACTGAGCCACCCAGGCACCCCTCAGAAGCCTCTGGAGGCTTCTATAGAGCACAGTGACAGGGCTGGCTCCCCTGCTCCGTCAGTGGAGTGTGCAACGCTTGATCTCAGGATTGTGAGTTTGAGCCCCATGTTGGGTGTAGAGATTACTTTAAATTAAAAAAAAAAAAAATGAGGGCAGTGGCACAATAGAAATGATGTCTTTACTATTCTGGCTGCAGTGGTAGCATGCAGTGTGGAGGAGTCCTGAGTGGAAGCAGGGAGACAGGTTAAGAGATGGTGGCAGTGGTCCAGGCTAGGTATGTTAGTGTCTTGGCCTGGAGTGGGATTAGAAAAGCTGGAAAGAGAAAGCTTCAGTAGATGTTTTGGAGGACTAATTGACAGGACCTGCTGTTGCATTGAATAAAGGTGGTGAGGCAAAGGGAGGCATTAGGGATAATTAGCAGGTTTTTTACTTTAGCAACTGGGTGGCTGGTTATGGTCAAAGCTAACAGTATGATCATTGGAAACTTGTTAAGCAGAGATGGAAGCAAGATTGGAATGGGAAACAAGAAAGTGGAGTCAGCAAGTAGGAAGTTTTGAAATATTCTTGTCGGTGTAAATTCCAGAATACAAATGTATTGAAGCCAGCTTTTTGTTTAAGTTCATTTGTGTTTGGTTCCTGGATTGAAGCATAGATTTACATTTTGCTATTTCTCTTGCTTTTTATACAGTGGTATGTGCCCACACTGAGGAGATGTGTTTCTGAGTAGATGAGGTGATAGGTCAGTTGAGGTGTATATAGCCAAGTCTGTTTTCCCACTGATTTATGTTAGGTTTTAAAATTTTTTATGTTTGTTTATTTTTGAGAGAGAGAGACGGAGAGGCAGAGAGAGGGGGAGACCCAGAATCTGAAGCAGGCTCCAGATCTGAGCTGTCAGCACAGAGCCCAATGCGGGGCTCGAACTCACCGCGAGATCATGACCTGAGCTGAAGTTGGCCGCTTAACTGACTGAGCCGCTCAGGTGCCCCTATGTTAGATTTTTAAAAATATTTTTTTAAGTTTTAAATTTGAATTATAGTATAGCTGACATAGTGGTATGTTAGTTTCAGGTGCACAATATAGTGATTCAACAATTCTATGCACCACTCAGTGCTCACCGTGATAGGTGTACTTGTAATCCCCTTCACCTATTTCACCCACCCCCCACCCACCTCCACTGCAGTAGCCACCAGTTTCTCTGTAGTTAAGAGTCTGTTTCTTGGTTTGTCTCTTTCTTTTATTTTTATTTTTTCATTTGTTTGTTTTTTTAGTCTTAAATTCCACATATGAGTGAAAACATATGGTATTTGTCTTTCCCTGACGGACATATTTCGCTTAGCATTATACTTTCTGGCTCCATGCCTGTTGTTCCAAAGGGCAAGATTTCATTCTTTTTTATGGCTGAATAAGATTCACACATCATATATACACACACAGGAATATTATATATCTGTGTGTGTGTGTACATACATATGTTTATATACACACACACACCCCACATCATCTTCATCCTCTCATCTATTGATGAACACTAGTCTGCTTCCATAATTTGGCTGTTGTAAATAATGCTGCTGTAAACACAGGGGTGCATGTATCCCTTGAATTAATGTTTTTGAATTTTTTAGCTAACTACCCAATATGATTGTTGGATCATAGGGTAGTTCTGTTTTTAACTTTTTGAGGAAACTCCATACTGCTTCCCACAGTGGCCACACTAGTTTGCATTCCCTGGCGTTCCTTTTTGTCCGCGTCTTCACCAACACTTGTGGTTTCTTGTGTTTTTGATTTTAGCCATTCTGACAGCATGAGGTGGTATCTCATTGTAGTTTTGATTTGCATTTCCCTGATGATGAATGATGTTGGGCATCTTTTCATGTGTCTGTTGGCCATCTGGATGTCTTCTTTGGAAAAAATGTTCCTCGTCCCTTTTTTAAATTGGAATATTTGTTTTTTGGGTGTTGAGTTGTATCAGTTCCTTATATATTTTGGATACTAACTCTTTATCAAATGTGTCATTTGCAAATATCTTCTCCCATTCTGTAGGTTGCCTTCACTGGTTTATGTTAGATTTTTCAAAATCTTCATACAGGTTTGATCTTCATTTGTCAACAGCCTTTAACTTCGTAGGGTCCACTTTTCTCAAGAAACTCTGAACCCAGCAGTGAAATGCAGGCTACATACTTATATGTAGTTTTATTTATATTATTTTCCTTATTGTTAATGTAGAGGTAATAAAGGCACGCTTTGTAAGTCTCTCAGCCGTACTTTGTTAGGTTCATTATTTTCTCTTACTATTTGAATGCAGAGAGAAAAAGCTGGAGGGGGTCCACAACACCCAAGAAAAGTGGCTGAGGAGGTTAAATTTTTAAAAACTACTAGTGTGTGGGTTGTGCTCCCAGATGTTCAGATTTAATTTGCTAAGCCTCTGACATTTTAAAATAGTCCATAGGCAGTTCTAATATGCAAACAGAGTAGAGGAGAAATCGCTGTTCTGAACTCTTCCACTTTATTGACTTAATCTTTAGCTTTGTTTTCTTATCAGTCTGATCTTCCTATTTCCAGAGGAAATTAGCCGTGAATGGTACCTGGATGGCTTGGTAATGGAGGTTAGTTTATGGCAGGCCATGCACTGTCATCTTTGGGGTTATCTTTTCCACTGGTCAGAAACTATTTCTGTTTTTATTCAACAAAATTCTAGACATTAACCTCCTCTCATAACAAGTTTTAAAAGGGCCTGGTAATGGAAAGTCAGGTCTAGGGCTGTACTAAAGAACACCCAGTTATTTCTTTGCTGTTCCCAGATTCCAGATACATTTTCCCACATGACTGTATTCCCAGATCACAAACTCCAGAAACCTGGGCCTAATAATTTTGCTTCTTTTCTCTAATAACTATAAGGGCTTCCTTTCTTTTTTTGTTGTTTTTCTTGTTCCCTCTTTTAGGGGGTAGGTAGTTTCCCTTC